GGCGGATGGAAATACCGGCCGCGGCTGAGAACCGAGCTCGGCACAGCCTGCCTCGTCCTCGATGCTCCCCTCCCCACCCCCGGCTGACCAAGCAAGACAAGCTCCCCCCCAGCATCTATCTCCGAAGTCCCCGGAAGCGACTCCTCCCGTTTCTCACCCGATTTTTTGTAAAACTATGACATCAACTGCGAGATTAGCACCTTGTTCTGTACAGGCGTTCACAGTATCATCGGGCTGCGGATTAAAGATAGGGAGCGAGGCAGATGGTAACCCGGGTCTTTAAATACGCCCCTCAGCCCCTTCCCCGAGGAAAAAAAAAACAAAAACAAAAAAAAAACCAGAATGGATTTCACATTATTCTTAGCTTCAGGGGCCAAATTCTGCTCTCATTTACCTCCGTACAGCCCAGCCGACTTCAAAGGGATGCAGAGATGTAACCTAGGGGAGAATTGGCGCCACGTATGGCATTCGTTCTCCTTAAAAGCTTGAAAACAGAAAGCTGATTTCAGCGGGCTAAAGCCATTTAAAAGGGGCTGGACAGATCCCGGGGGAGAAGGCGGCAAAGCAAGGGGGAAAAAAAATCCTGTGCTGAGGTGAGACAGCTTTGAAAAGCATCTTTCTTCGGGGACTTATTCCCTCCGCCCGGCAGCCCAGTTATTAAGAGCTGCGCGCAGATGTGCCGCTGTGTTTCGAGAGATGGAGTATCTCCCAAACCTTCTGTGGAAGGGTGTTAGGTGTGATGGGGAGACGTTTCGTGGCCAGAGGTGGTGTGAAGGAGCTCGCCCCAGCAATGACTAACTAGGAGCTCCTAGGGGGAAGCCCTCTCCCCTGAGATAACCCCGGAGCGCGGCTTCCCCGCCTCGGCACCCGCAGGGCTCCCCTGGAAAAGGCTTCGTCCCCCCCTCCTCCCTCACATTCCTTCCCTTCCTGAGATCACAAGTTACAGACCCAAACGTCGAAATGAGGATCTCGGATAAATTACAAGCGGCTCGCTGCTGAAAAATTAACTGACTTGAAAAAGAAATGGGAGAGCCCCGTGAAGGAAATCGCCCTGGAAAAGGTGGTGGATGCTGGTTCCTCAGCGGATGCTGTCGCTGCAGCTCTAGATACCAATTTCTAGCCCAAATATTGCCACTGCCCATTTAAGGGGTACCCTTAACAATGCACCTCAAATTCTTACTTTTGATTAAATAAAGTGAGAGAGCACCAATACGAGCGAGCGTCTGTCCTGGAAATGCCCAAGAGTCTCCATCCCCCTGTCCCTCCTCCCCATTTCTACCAGTATTTTTTAATCTTGGAAGTCAGGACACAGAAAAGGTGTTTTATCTTGGACTCTATTTTAGACTTCTCTTCCCCCTAGAAAACGTTACAACGCGAAATGTGTTTGTGGACTGACTGGAAAGAAATCATCGCTACCTGTGACGGGACTAAACGAATGTTGGGGATATTTTTTATTATTCTCTTCCCTCCACATGCACACAATCCCGCTATTCAGGAAAGTGGGGAGGTGAAATTATGGAAATGAGAGCGAGGTGTTTGAGCAGAGCGGTTGAGGACCGGCAATAGCGGGAACAAGGAGAGCGATACCCTTCCTTGAATATGCCAACAGCTACGGCAGGAAGTAAGGTTTATGAAATACGAAGAGAACTGAAGGCTATGTCAAAAGACAGGTGTCCAAATGGTTCCGTATTTCCATAAGCCTTCCGTTTTCTTTGCCAAGGCTTCACCTAGTCACTCATTTCACGTTTAAAAGCGGGGGTTATTATTAAATTAGATCAATTCGGAGTGAGGTTAAAGTGAAACCCACCGAGAAATGAACGCACCAGCTTCGATCACTCGGAAACTTTCTCCGGCTGCCAGTGAATATCGACCTAATCTGCGGAGGCGAGAGAAGGCGTAAAAAGACACTCAGCGATTCGCTCTAAGTCTCCCTTCCAGCGGAATGCGGGAAATTGCAAGTTATAATTTTAAAATGTAGCTTGACTGAGTTACATTTTTCCAAACGTCCTGTTTGCGAAAAAGAGTCACGTGAAGCATTATTACTGCAAGCACAAAATGTGTGATAAGTTTCAGTGCAGCTGAAAACAATTTGGGTTGGGGGGGGGGGATGTTGGTTTGGGGAGGGGAGAGGGATCATTTTTCTTTTTAACATATTCCATAGCGCCTAAACTTGCTGATTATGCTTCGGATCTCCGTAAAGGCTACATAAAGGGATTGATCAAAGTCCCGTTTAACGAACTTTCTTTCTAAAGGGAGGTTTTTGTCCACCTAAGAAAAACAAACAAACAAACAAAAATCGGTTCTCATATAGGTGGGCATCCTTCAGATTTTCCGCTTAGAGGGGAAATGTTTAATTGACACTGTTTGGAGCAACTTTATTAAAACCTGTGATCTGTGTTACCACTGAAAAAGTACCACCAAAGCGACTACTCATCTATTCAGTAATTTAATGCTAATCCTGCGCCAGCAGAATAAGAGATTCGTGCATCTTCTTTAGGTACATATAGCGAAAGTTATGGTGTCGTTTCCCACTACGCTGGGCCCGAGCCTGGAGCTTTTTCCAGCCAAGACTCGAAGAAAGCGGGTTCAAACGCTCCCAGGTCTTATTCACAATCCAGCCAAAACATAATGACAGCAATCATTTCGCGGTTCCTGCAGTTTGGCGCTTTGACAATACCTCAGCTCTTTGGGAGGTTTCTTGCACAACACCTGCACAGATAAAATAAAGATTTCATGTGCCTCAAAGACATTCTGAGGGGGAAGAAAAGAAGTTGGGGAGTGGGTTCTTCGCCTTAAGAAAGTAGGATTGCTTTCAGAGCTGGGCGAGCTTTGATGATTTTCTTCTTGCAACACGTAAT